AAAAAAAGAATTTGCCTAAAAACGGAACTTCGTGGATCTGCGCAGATTTACCAGTCAGACACGACGTCTTAAGGTGGAAAAAAACTCGCTGAAAGCGAATTTTAGCAATCAACACAACTTGATGTAGAGACATGATTGGCTAAAAAATACAACGGTTTTTGATACATCGGAAAATCAACCAAAAATCGGAGACTGGGCGAAACGCTCAAGGTCGCAGAGGTATAGGGAATCCCATTGCGAAAGCAACGGAACGATTGTAATATCATGGGGAACTCCGTTCCCATGACAAAAATCTCAGTCTGATTTTATGGACCTTTCCATGGGTGGAAGCAGGAAATACAAAAAAAGCTGTGCTGTATTGATGATGGGTCCAATTAGACCCAAACCGCATCTACCCAAGTAGCAGTGATCGCGATAAATAGCGATTTTATCGGTTGATGGTCGCGATTATATCGGTGGCAATTTATCGCAATATTACCGAATAAAAAATTGCGATTTATGGCAATTAAATCGCTATGCATCGCAATTTTTTGTTCAATAAAATCGCGATCAATTTTCGTCGATAAAATCGAGATTAAATCGCCATATATCGCGATTTTTGTTGCGATAATGTTGCGATAATATTGCGCTAAACTGCCGGGCGATAAAATCGCGATTTTATTGCAACAAGATCGAGGATAATCGCTCAGGTGTTGATGATCTTAGCGATTTTATCGCCGACAAAATCGCAACAAATCGCGATTTTTCCGTTGAAAAATACTACTTGGGTACAGTTGCTTCCTGATTGGACGCAACTAGTGTTGTGCCAAAGAGCTTCATTCCACAAGGAAAATTATACTCGATGAAAGATTTTCCCTCTACAGTGAGAATGAAATGACATCACCTTGACTGGTCATATTTGTATTTTCAACCAATAAGTGCTTATTGACTGTTGTCTCGCCGCTTTTGTTCTTTGAAAAAAAAGGGTTGATTTTCCATCTTAAAAGACAAATTAGGATAATATTGAAAATAGTTAGTTACCTCGTACGATGAAAACACAGGATCTGGTGGGGTGAAATGAATTTTTTCCTTTAAAGATACTAAAATCAACCAGGTAAGATCTCTATACTTTTTAGCCACAGTTTCAAATAATTTTTTAGTACTTTGCTGAAATAAAAAAAAAAAAATTAAGGATTAGGCACATTCCAACTTTCAATAATAATTTTTTGTCTTCCAGTGATTAGGCATCATTCTCCTATCATTGAAAATCTATACATATTAATGGCTGAAGTAAAATAATAGTTTATTTTCTTTAGAAAATATACTAAAATGCACAAATTTATGATTTTTTTTTTTTTTTTTTTTTTTTTTGGAGAACCAGAAAAAAAACCCATAATATCTCCTTTAAATTTTCTGTGAATACTCACAATATATTTAAGATTTTACTAATTACTTTTTTGGGTATGATTAAAAAAACCACAAACATCCTTTTAGTCATACAGTCAGAGCCACTTGACAGTTTTCATTTAATTGATGAGTATGGATTTCCAGTTATTCGCAACTGAACATATCCATTATTCATTGCACATTTTTTCATTCAAGCTACATTTTTCAATTACAAACTATAATTTCTGACTCATCTGTAAAAACACTCATGTGCACAGGGAAACTAGAGGTACATTCGTCATTTATAAACTGAGCCAAAAAATGTAGTTTAGAATTGAAAAATGTAGTTCAATCAATAGGCATACAAATTATCTCATGAAAAATATATAGCCGTTTGCAAATAATATTGGTAATGACAGAAATACTGACGACATAACTCAAGCAATCTAACTTCCATTCGATCCGGCAGGGGTAAAAATACTTGTTAATATCTCTTTCAGAAGTTGATTTCCGAATTTCCCCTAGTGTGAACAGTTTCCTCCATAATATTTTGAAGGGAAAACATGAGTTATTTTCTCTATTTCAGACCTTGTCTAGTGGTGCATTCCTTAAGTTTATATAGGATAATCTACCTGCAACGGCAACGGCTGCAAAGAACTTAGGTAAACAGATGAACAAGTTAGTAGAGCATGAGACGTCTTTTCGAGGCAGTCCAGATCTATGATAATCTGTCCTAATCCATCCAACAGAATATGCTGTAATTTATACTGCTGAGTCATCCGATAAGCAGAGCCCACATCGCGAAGGTGACTATCTTTTGCAGACTTCGTAAGGAATGCAAAAAGCTTTGGAAGAACTTCACTGTGGAAAAGAGTAGAATTATTACTTGGATTACTAGACAGAATGTGTAAAAAGTGCCAGTTTTTGAAGAGTAAGAAAAACTCGGAAACAAATTAATGCATTTATGGAGAGGAAGTCTGTTTTGTGTTGGGTACTCCGAGAAGAACCTAATGTTTGCGGGGTGGATTGGATTTTAGGATTGCGAGTCTGGGTTGGGAAAAGCAGGTTGCTTGAGCATTGTCATGATTGGATGACAGAGACGCAAATGACATGATCATGTTTGGGGTAGTCAAAGGATGTTCTTCAAAATTTCCCCACAAAGAGACTTGTTTCCCACATTTCAGGTGAGAGTTACAAGATTCAAAATGAGTCTATCTACATGAGAGTTAAAAACCCTTGTATGACTGCTTTATAATATCATAGAATATTGGCGAGAATATGCTAGTGCTTTTTTTTCATTGTCATTGACCTCTCATTTATTTCTCTTTTTTTTAAGGGGGGGGGGGATAAACTGAAATGTAACTTACTCAATGGTTCTTTTCCTGATGAAATCCTTGGTGATTTTTGCCATGGTAAGGAGCAATTTGAAACTATGATGAATGATCAGTGGTTTTGGTGAGCTAAATCTTTCAACAAGGGGAGCCCAGATTTTGTGAACAACAGGCAATAATTCATCGGTCCAATCTTGCATGACTAGAATACCCCGATCCAAAATCTAGAGCAAGGATTAGATAAAAAAGAAACTTAATTAGAAAAAAAACTTGAAAACAAAAAATAATGATATCAGTTTTTTCAGTCATCAGTTATCAGTCAGGAAATTATTTTTTGAGAGTTCACAATATTTTCGCCTCTGACTTGATGACATTTTTCAATTATCAGATTTGCATATTCACGAGTCATTTGGTAGAGAAATTTGAATGATTCTAATAAAGCAAGGAAGGGCTGAGTAGTTGTGCTTCCAGGCTTGTAACTTAAAAAAGAGGTTTGGGAAAAAACTACCTCAAAGCAGATGTTTTTCGGTTTTCAACCACCCATCAGACTTGGGAAATTCACCATTCTTCACATTACACGTCTGAATGTGTTTTGCTCACAGGTTAAAGAAAAATTGTGCGACTGGTAAACCGAAACGCTGTAAAGTTTAACACATGCAGATTTTTTCGGACCAAGAATTAGTGTATTAATCGCAGATGGTGGCTACGAATTGTCTGCACAAAAATATATGGATTTCTTCCAAAACTTATCGTGCCTTTATGAAATTTAAGGAGCCTCAAATGCTTACCAAATGACAGCTAAGAAATAGGTGTACAAACAAACCTGCAACACCAGAAGCTGCAAAGATTCATTCTTGTGAGGCAGGAAATTCAGACTTCTTCTCAGGATGGATATAGTAATTTTAATCGTTTCTGGAATATCTTTTTTACCGTCAGACTCAGAATGGAAATCTGCGCCTTCACTATTCTCTGGGTAGTCTGATTCTGAGGTTGCTTCAGCCCTGTGTCAAAAAAGAGAATCATCTAAAAAGGGTACGAAGTAATGTCATGCGCTTACGTTAGATGCTGGAAGCAGTTTTGAGTAAGGAAATAAAATTAAACTTGGGGAATATGCAGAGAGGAGAAAATAGAAATTTAAATATTCTGGCTAACTTATGCAGGAGCTGGTGCAGAACAAATAGAGGTTCAAGTAAGAGAGAGAGATGAAGATTAATTTTTGGATACAAATTTATGTTCCGATAAATTCTGGCATTAAATTAGGGAAAAGGACAATACAATTGATTTATCAATGTTTACTGCCTTTAAAAGGAGAACTTACCCAGAAAATTCTTCAGGAGCTGAACTATTTTCTTCGATGGCATCATTAAAATTTGAGGCCGCAAGTTTCAACCGATGATGCTCAAGAAAAGTTTCTAAGACACTCTGACTCTCTAAAGGACTACTGGGCTTTTCAGTCAAAGCTTCCTCCTCTTGCGGTGGCATCCACTTTTGTGCATGAGACACAAATGTAAGGAATACATGAAGAAAAGCAACGATGTTCTTGTCTTGAAAAGTATCACAACTGTACATCAACACCTATAAAAAAAGAGAGAAGAGTGAAAGGCAGGTAAAAAGACTTACGTTCGAGTTGAGGTAGTAGCTGAAAAAGAAAACACACAAGAGAAGGGGGAGTAGTATGTTGAGGGACTGTCAAGTAGCCAAATTTAGAACTTTTTTTTGTGGTTTACAAATACACATGTATCTCCGCTTCTTACATGACAGATAAAGTGCAGATTCATTTAAGTTATAGTTTTTATTTTGTTCTCTTCTATTTCTTAAAGAAACAATAAATTATTACTGTATTGTACCAAGACTGGTTAATTTAAGACTTTGTTGACTAGAGATAGAAAATTAACCAACTCGTACTGATTTTTTTATTAGTGTGTTTGAAGACTTTAAATAAATTGTAAAACTTTATTTGATCGAATTATTTATTATTTCCGTACAAAAATACAACTTACATTATTAATAATTTCTTGCAGGGCAGATAATGCATGAACTGTGCATTTACTAATTATCACAATGAAAACATTTAGGACTTGTGGATATCGTGTGACGTTCTTCAAACGTAATGAAACATGATGTATCAAATAATCTGAATAGGAATCGATTAACGAGGTCATGTCCTTCAATCCACAAGCTTTGACTATGTTGTTAAGAGTATACAGTCCTGAAACAAATCAACAGATAATGTAGAGCTCGATCAAAATTAGGAATTACAGGTTTTTAATCTACAAAAAAAAAAAAAAAAAAAAAAAAAAAAAAACGTCTGGGGAAAAATAATTTATTTTTTATTATTCATCTTAGAGACAAAAACAAAAATCCTCATAAAATCAATATCTCAGAGAGAACTGTACGAGATTTCCCTCCACACTAAATTATAAACAAACCTGTTTTAATCATTTTCAACTTGTTTTTATCCGAATTTCTTTGAATGAAAAAAAAGACCAGAATCTCAAGAGAAACTCGGTAGTTGAAGGTCCGCATTTACGATAAATTCAGCCCCAACTCCAGCCAATAAAGTTCACCACACTGCCTCATGAGGAGTGTATGTTTTAGTCATTACCCAGTGAGTGCTGTATATTTAAATACTACCCACTGAGCAAAGAATGGTTGCCACTAAATAAATGAAGAGAGCTTCATCGTTTCATCAGTTGAGAAAGAATTTTCTTGCTAGATACATACCTGCTTCAGAAAACACTTCCAAGGGACTTCCAGCTCTTTCTAATAACAAATACAGACATTGTAAAAGACAAGGTGAGAAAATTTCTCCTCCTACAGCCAAGGCAATGTCACCAATGCCTTCAATCATCAGACAGACCTGAAACAAAAAACCCAAAATATTGATGGTGAAATAAAAAAAAAAAACTTGACACAAAAGTATTGAAAATGTAACATTCAACCCAAAAATGATCTTTCAAAGTGAGTATAATTGCACATATTTTACTTGTAAAACTGTGAGCGAAACCACTTTTTCACATGATAGGTTAGCACCAGGCTCTTAAATAGCAAGAAAGAAAAAAGTATTGTGTTAAGTTTCCTTTTTGAAAGTTGTTTATGAAGGTAAAGAATAGCAAAAAATATGCAATACTTTTGACTTGCTCAGTATCTGTTTTACTAAAAATCTAGTCCTCATACTTCAAACAGATTTAAATTAAATTAACCTTCAGTTTTCTTTTCTTTCTTTTTTGTTTTAGTTTGAAGAGCGAACTTGCGAAATTTTCTACGATCTATAAATTAGGCACCAACCTGGACAACATTACTCTTGATTTCTGCGAGGGACAAATTATTCAGTCTGACTGAGTGAACATCTGCTTGACTGTCCTCCAATATTTCATGTTTTGAAGTTGGCAAGTTCCATAGAGATGGCTCCAGGTATGCGTCAAGTACAGCTGTCATGAGTTCAACATCTTTGCTTTTACTTAGTTCTGGAATAAAAAATGAGATGAAATAATTTTGAATAAATGTATTCATTGAAATCAGAGAGCCGTACAACCTTTCTGTAATCACCACCGATGGGCATAGACTGATTTAGTGACTATGTCATTCGATATGATATTGAACCCTTGGTTCAAATGTAAACAAACACAGAACCTTGCTTCTGGTTCTGATTTGGTGGTAAAATGCATCCAAGTGTTTGTTCTAATAATCAAAAGTTCTCATGTTTAATGAGTCTTTAATTGATTTACAACTGGTCAATGACTAAAATTATAAAAACCAACACAATTAACTCATGAAGAATTCGTATAATTATGAGGTTGTGTTCGTTTGTTTTGGTTTGAACCAAGAGTTGGATATTATATCAAATGACGTAGTCACTGAATCAGTCTAGTGAGACAGTATGTAAATTAAGCACTAAGTTACATGCTTCCTCTCTTATATTTTACCAAAAAAGTCATACACACAGCTGAACAGAGAGTCCAAAAATCGACTGAAAATTATTGCATTCACATTGATCAAATAGAAAAATAGTGAATATTGGTATTGGTACATGTTCTTATAAATTGTTTGCATTTATGTTACTTCTTTCATATACTCTCCTTACATTTCACTTTTTGATTTCTGAACCTTTCACACCTAACTTCTTATCTTCTCAGCAAAATTCAATAGAGGATTCTCCTCTGTCATTAACAAGGGTGTATGAGAGGTAAAGGGTAAAGAGGTCGCTTTTCTGGAATCCAATCACACAGCTCTTTTTAATGATAACTGTTCATCGTTAAGTTATCTGGCAAATATGGGAGAAACTTACCATTAGCTGCGATTAAGTTCAAAATTAGAGTGATTTCTTTCCTGTGCAAAGAATTAGTTTCATATAAATCCAACAAATGATGAGCGATAAAAGTGCCATGACAGTCTGACAAAATGCAACATATATCCTCGAGTTTCTTTATTAAATTCTCATTGCTAAAATGGCGAAATGCTCGCCACGATTTTGACTTTTTGGCCCAGCTCTCATATTCATCATAGTCTGAAATTAATAAAAAACAAACCGGACTTGATAACATTCTAATATATTGCTGCTGTTACATAATCCTAAAGTTGCCTTGATTTAAGGCCTTCATATTTTTTCTGAGAAGTTTTGTGAAAAAACATTCTCTCGCTTAAATAAGTTCTTAAGTCTCCATTTGAAACGTGGAACTTGAGTTAAAGCATTCTTCATTAGCTCCAGCTCACTGAAATCTATCACAAGATGGACCCATAGCTTTAACCGCAACAAATGTCACATGAACAATAACATGATCAAACCACTGTACGCTCTGCACATTTGGAGAGAGATCTGTGTTTGGTAACTATGAGGTTTGTCTTCTCAGCTAAAATTTGATTGAATGAAAAATATGTAGAAAAAAATAGTTCACACCAAATAAGTTTACACATTTTTAGACAGCAATAGAAGATCCGCCGTCTTGATTCTTGCCTTTACTTCAATGCTAAAAAGACGTCAGACGATCTTTTTTCGCAATCTGAAAGCGCGTAAACTTATTTGGTATGTTATCTCATTTATACTTCCTGCTCGTATTTTCTGAAAATTAATTTCAAAACTAAAGGTTGACAGCTGTTGAATGAAGAATATTATGTGTCAGTGTCCCTCTTCTTTTTTTAAGACACTTCTAGTTTTCTGATATATTCATAGAGAAAAAGTCAATCTCTGAATCATTAAATGCACAACTAAGTCCTTAATAGTATGTGAAAGCTCATAGCAAAATAAAACATCTGATAGACGACTTCGAGATGGGCTTGATTACTACCTTTGACGATAAAGTCTTCTTCAATGATTTTTGCTCCTGCTGTATCTAACTCCATTAGGTGAACTAGGGCAGAAATGAGTTTTTCCAGATGAGCAGAGGAGTTAAGCATGTGGGGTAAACGAGCAGGTCCTAACAAAGAGAGGTAGCCTCCCAAGAGAGTCAGCTCACTTAACTGTACATTTTCATCTGAAAAATCAAATAAAGAAAAGTTTGTACAATTTTTATTAATTAGCTAGGGCTGGATTCACTGCTATTTTAAGGAGAAAACATACATAAGAATGCTTATATTTGTACCATGTCTAATGGTTCATTCTACCAGGAAAGAAATCAAAAGTTCCAAGTATAATATTGTGGTACTACATAATGGGCACTTCTAAAAATTTTCCTGTGAGGAGCTTCTTAAAATAGGAATTCAAGCACAGCAGAAGTTTGTTAAATGAAACTATTGTTTATTCAAAATTGTCTTCCGTCCCTTAACACTGCAATAAGAAACACTCCCAACACTGAGGATGTGATGGTAGATTCAAATCTAATTTTCGTTGCTGAGTCCAAAAGAATTTTGATTTTTTTCCCTACCCTCGTCAATTTTTCGGAAAATTGGTGAGTAAAGGTAAAGAAAAAAAAGTACTTGTTAGACTCAGCGCTAAAAATTAAATTTGAAGCAACCATCATATCCTCATGTTTTTATGGGTTCTCAGGTCTACATATGTGTTATTGCTAAGTTACCTGTTCCATTCACAATGCGAGGTAATTTTGTTACAAGATGGAAAAAGTTTTCCTCGATATTCTCTACTAAAGATTTGCCATTTTCTGCTTCACACTTCTGCGAAAACTTGTGTAGGGCAGTTTTGGCTGCATTAGATACCGCATCTATCTCGTCTTGAGCAAGCACGATTAGGGCATCAATTAAGAACATTAATGATTGCTGCATGGTTCTGAAAAAACAATCAATAGGTAAAGTTAAAATTCAGGAAGTTAAGAACGTGGAGAGCAACTCCTGGCAACATGACAAGAAAGAAAGATTAAATATGATACAAGCAAAATTATTTTTATCTGCCATGACCATCCCTTTATTTTTTGATAAATTGTTTCCAAAATTCGCCACTATTATTTTCCTCAAACAATACTCACTTCCTGATGAAGGCCTGAATTTTTTTTGTTTAATGGTTTACAGCCAATAGTTTTAAAAAACTAAAATATAGCTGATCAGTAAGTCTTGTAAATCTATGTAATTCTAAGCTGTTTTTGCTAACAGCATTAACTTGTTTTCTGACTGTTTAGATTCATTTATGACCTGTAGCATAGCCAATCAGCTCTCATGTACAAAATGTGTCAAAAAAAGGGGGGGGAGGGAAACTTTGCATACCTACCGTCAACCATCAAAACGAATTTCATACTTCAAATTATATGATGTAAGACAAAGATAATAATTCAAAAATAAAATGATCGAAATGCCAGATTCTCAATGATTATTATTTATTATTTCTTGGTTTTACATCAATATTTTTCCAAGAAAGAGATTTTTTGAGATTAAAAGGATAGAATGTATGTGTCAAAAGGTTTTATTTTACACCGAAACAACTCAAACTTGTTGGAGGTGCACAAAATTTTTCCTTCAAAGTTTCACTGCATCTGGAGGAAAAATTCCCGAGATTTTGAAATTCCAAATTTGGAAAAATCCATGTTTTCCAAGCTGACAAATGCAAGAAAACCAATGTATAATTGAGAAAAGGCTTGACAATTCAAACAATGTTTGAAAACTTAGAACAAGAGAATTTCCTTTACCTCAAACAATTAGATACTACGCGATCACTTGCAACAGCAAGCTCATGTCTCACTTTCCAATGTGAATGACTCCTTACACTGACAATGTTCTCAAAGACGGGCGCCAAATTTTTGCTGGTGTCTGCCAACCAAGCCTCAGTTCTCTGCTGCATATCCATTATCTGTTTAATCTTTTCTTTCGTGCTGGTCTCCAGTTTGCACAAACTACGGTCATCTGATTTCTGCACCTTCAAGTTGTCATCCATGACGAGAACAACAACGTGAGACCACAACCGCAAAGCCATCTGAAAGGCAATGATTATGAACAATAAAGCTAACAATGATTAGATATTTCAGCGATGCAGAAAAAGATTTGATCAACGTTTCTTACTGATGTAATAAAGTTCTTTAACAAAAGTAGTTTTCAACTTAAATGAAGTTTCATATGGGTTAAATTAAAAGGAAAAACTCCTGATCAGCAAAAAGTGCTGAGAATGGATGATAAGACTCCTTAAAATTCAACGAGTGCATCAGGAATGAAAATTATAGAACCCCTCGAAAGAGTAATGGGTGTCAACAAAATTGGTAAAAATAATGATTTTCCAATTCAGGTATTTTGGGTTTAAAGCGCCGCTGAACCTTTGAGTGGACTCTGATTTTTAATATACTTGTCGTAGAGTCTATAACTAGAACTAGTTGGGGTAAAGGGGTTGCCCAATTTTTTTTACGACATTTGATTTTTAAAGTGTACGAGTTTCTTGGGGGATTATTTGTATGTTACTTACTGCTGGTGAGGAGATTGAGGGTGTGAAAATTTTAGGAAATGTGACTGCCAGCGGTAAAAAAGAATCAATAAGCCGAATAACTAAAACTAGGGTTAGTTGTGTCATTTTATAGAGCAGCATTTTCAAAGGCAACATTGTATTTTTAGAGTAGGGCAGATATGTCGAGCCAAACCGAAGTAACGACAGTTTGAGATAGACGCAGGCGCAAATTTTCAGGGTCTGAAATGAGGGTCCCTACTCCATGGAGGGTTACAATTAAACAAAATAAAAATACTCAATATAGGAATGATTTCTGATGTGGCTTGATTTTATTTTTGGGTAAATAACGTTACGGGAACAGCAAAATTTTTCTTTTCACACAAAAAAATATGCTGCTAGTTTAGACCATCTATTACTTGACTTGGCAAAGATAAACAATGTTTTGACCTACCAAAGTAACCTGGTGGTTTTGAGTGACATTTAAAGCAGCAGTTGCCTGGCACAAAGAGACGATTCCGGGTAACATGAGCATCACTATGTTTGAGCAGGATTTCTTTACTTCATCGTCAAATAATGAGCCAGTCATGATCATTAGACAATTCAAGGCACTTACTCTACATAAAAAATAACACCAGAGATAAGGTTCATCGATATGATATCATTAAATGATTTTATAATAACAAGTGTTTACCTAAACAATTTTTTCCTTCATTTGTAATTTTGTTCTTTGATAGAGAAAAAAAGAGTACTAAAACTTTTAAAGAAATTAGGATGCATCTTCTCATGAATTAAAAATGCAGGGATGCAGAAATTCTTAGCCTCCCCATTTTTCGATTGGCCTTCTTGCTTTAAAAACCCCATCTTCCCAAAATTTTCAAAATTAAGACAAACTAGCTGCTCCGGACGCCCTACGGGCGCCCTCCACAGCTAGCAATGGTGGTGAGTACCTTAATTGGAATCGGAGCAATTAGTTGAATCTACTTAATAATGATGAATAAAATGTCTGTAACAATACGTGTTGTTAGCAATACGCAATACTGCAGTTAATAAGTCAGGGTCAGTCAAGCCGCAGAGAATAAGATGCCAGGATATCAAGAAGCTGTGAGGCGGAGTAGCCGAGGGATGGCGAAGGAATGTGGGTGGCGAGTGACGAACTGACGAACGACGATGCGACCCAAACTTCCTTCTTTGAGGTTGGTGGAAGGAGAGCTATACGAAAGAAAACGGAGATAGCCGAAAGAACGTGGTGGGAGGGGTGGCTGAGACCCTAGAGGGGGTATCTAGGGACGGGCAAGCAGGTAGCGGCCGGATGACCGCTCAAAACAGCTGAACTTTACTCGTCGATAAAAGTAAGAAAATTTGAGAAAATCGAAAAAACAATTACAGCCTGCAAATCTACAGATCAGAAGCTTTCATTTAAAAAAAACCCCATGCAAATCGGTCCGATGGTTCTCTCAAAGTTAATGCCCCAAAATGCGGACTTTAGTCTGAATAAATGGGAGAAAATTTGAGCCCAGCTAAACTTCACTCGT